AGAGCAACTCTACTGATCGGCGCCCCGGCCTGTTTTTCTTCTAAAGAAAAAATTCTACGGCGACAGTCCTAGTTCTAGTAGCCTAAACCACCGCATTCCTCACCAGAGCCCCCGCACTTCCCAACCGAAACTCCGATCCTCGAACACTCCCAACCTCCCTAACCCCAGCACCCTCCCTCCCCGCCCGAATCTCAAACCTCATACCCTTACTGTGACAGTGAAGACTAAGTGACGTGAGATGAGCTTGTAATTTTTACTGTCTTGAAGCCATACGCCCAAGCAGGCAAAGTTAAAATCTCCGCCGTATTCGCAGTTTGCAGGAGACATATGCATCCGGAAGTAGCTTGAGTAGTTGCAGGTGCCATGAGCAACCAAATGCCTAAATATTTGCTAGGAATGTGTTCGCAGCAATCCATGAGCCCTAGCATTTTAATGTAGTGGCGAAGTAAAAACGAGCCTCAGTATGCTTTTCTCATATTATCCATTTCGCATCTGCAGCAAGTTGCAGTTCCTCTTATGCGCGTTACTTTTCATATTTCCATGCATTTCTGCATTATAGAGAAACGCAACGGTATGTATATGCTTCGAGGATGTCAATACAGGGAACATTTGGCCTTGCTATCCGACAGTGATGTGGACAGAAAAGGTCAGCAACACAGTTTAGCAATTACTTCATTGTTATAATCATCGTGATAACTAATCACTTAATGGTCGTTGTGATAACCAATCTCTGATAGATTTCTAAGATGATTTATAATAGTGAACGAAGATGTTTTTTTGGCAAATTGTGATTTTTTGCCTCACTGCATATTTCAAAGCACAACATCTATTTCATCACAATGCAGTTAACGAAGAATCCATTTCGTAGCCGGGCCAGTAGGTGATGCTAAACGAGGACGAAGCTACCGCAACGAATGATTCAACATAAGCGAGCCCAGAAAACATGGCTGGTCTCGCATACAACAGTCGTATGGCCGTGAATTTTTTTTTTTTTTTTGCAAACACTGAAGCATATTACTACTGGATATCTAAAAGAAGCTTTCTGCACTCATTTTATGCTAATTTTAGCAGTGCTTCGATTGCTCAGCGTCGAATACTTGTACGGACCCCGATCATTCGAATGCCACCACCGCATACGCCACTACGAATGGTACCAAGTGCTTGTGCCAGTTTGTCTCCAACAACTGCGTTGTTATGCCGAAAAGTAATATCCGGTGGTGGAATCCGAACAGCTACACCGTTCTTCCAATCAGCACTCCACCGCCGACCGTTTCACAGGAACTTGCCGAAGCCTTCGGCATGACTGTTCGTCTTCTACACTCATTTTATTTGTGTTCTGTATGCAATTACTTTTATGATTTATCCTATTCCATTGAAATTCGTAACTTGGGAAAATCCTTCAATGTAAGCGAGAACAAACATGAGTGAAAATGACAAAACGCTCGCAAAGATTCATGGTTGAAATAGCAAATGTGAGGTTCTTAACGCGTTGAGTTTGCCAACTAAATTGTTGAGGGAATCCGCATCTTTGTGTAGAGTTTCGAACCTCAGAGTAGCTAGGTTTCGCAGACAGTATATTGTTTTGGCATTGATTATTTGCTTATAATCTATGAAGTTACATGCAAAGCTCATGGCGTATTTTGAAGGAGAGGCAAGATCCAGCAGCCA